GACTGCGGTGGTGGTGTACTAACGGTAGTGTTCATGATTGTAGTTGCGGTGGCAGTGATGTTAGTGTTGTTGACTGCGGTGGTGGTGTACTAACGATAGTGTTCATGATTGTAGTTGCGGTGGCAGTGATGTTAGTGTTGTTGACTGCGGTGGTGGTTGACTAGAGGTAGTGTTCATAATAGCGCAGCGCACTGATTCTAAAAATAGCTCAAAGATTCGGACAAACATTGCATTCTGTTTAAGCGCTACGAGGATTATACGAACCGATTTTATTACTTTTACTTAAAGTTACAATAATAACCCATGTAAACTAAGATCAACTGCGATCGGCTGTGAAAATTATCTGCTGAAAGTAAACTCGTAAGTTTGCTTGTCCGAATTTCGCTTTTGTCTTCGTTTTTATGACGTCACGGTTGCGCTGCGCTATTGTTGTTGCGGTGGCAGTGATGTTAGAATTTTATTCAAGACTAGTGTGGTATTGCCTATCAACCCATTGTTGCTCCAGCTATTAAAGATTGATCATGACTTAGCGTGCAGAGTATCGAGTTTACCATTCTACATTATAAAATAACTGTCATGCATCTTGCTTTCTGATCAGTTGGAGGTGCGATCTTTATAAGAGCACGTAGCTTTCGCGTCATGCTTTTCCAAATACTTATCTGGTGTACTGCCAATTTCGAAGCGCTTCATAACTTCATGCAATACGAGCACGTCTTTTATTACTTCATCCATAGTATTTTAGCATCACCCATAATAGGATGCATGAATAGTGTTAGGGTGGGGCCACTACTTAAAAGTCAAAATGAATACAAGAACGCATCGTAAGCTAAGTTTTCTATTTTATACCAATTTGTATTAAATTTGAAAAACATTTAGAATATTATGATTAAGCAACCTTAAAATGGAATCTACCACTTGAAAACAGTCGTCAAGCTAAATGTGACGCATATTGGCTGTGCTGCGGTTGCGCAGAAAACTGGCAACGAGTTTTCTTCGTGCGTAACCTCGGAAAGGCCAGCATGCTAGTGGTAAGTGGATAGAACCACTCATCCTTTCGCATTGCGAAGGAATATTGCCTTCAAGTTCTCAGCAAATTGTTTCTTTCGTTCGTCCATGCTCCCATAATCCAAGTAAAATTTGACAAAGTTGGAGACTAACACTGGTGTGGGTAGACAGAACAAGATAATGCCGCTCATAGCACAAAAACTACCAACCAGCTTCCCAGCTAAAGTGGTAGGAACTACGTCGCCGTAGCCAACTGATGTCATAGTGATTATTGTCCACCAAAACGAGTGAGGTATGCTGGGATATGTAGTCTTGTTGTTCTCGGCGAAATATATGGCGCTTGAAAATAATAACATTCCAATAAAAGCACAAAAACAGAGGGATTTCAACTGCTCACTGCTGGAGGAGAGAGTTTTGACGAGAAGCCCCAAGGCACTGCTGTAACGCGAGAGCTTAAAGATGCGTAAGACACGGAAAAGACGTAACGCACGAAGAACGGTAAATGATTGGACCTCAAAGGTAGTGTCTTTGACAGCCAGTGTAATATAGAAAGGTAATATAGCGATGATGTCTAGGATCCCCATCGGTGATATCAGGAAGCGACGAAGCGAAGGAGCCGAGTAGATGCGTACTAAATATTCAACTGTAAACCATGACACGCAAAAGGCTTCTATAATGAACCAATAGTCAATTAAGTCGGCCTTGTAAACACGATGACTTGAGGTTGTAACATTCTTAGTCACTGTGATGTTCCTTGTAGACTGTGGACTTATAAGAGGTAAAAAAGCCCGTGACGCCACTTGAATGGTGACGTTTTTCACTGTCGTTACGTATTCCGTTACACTGAATTCCTTTTGAATCTTTAATGGTGGGAGAGTCTCGATGCAGAAAGATACAGTTGACCCGCATATTATGATGATTGACCAAAACGCTAGTATCCTAGCAACGGTCGATGAACGTGGATACTCGAAACAAAGCCATAGTTTTCTCTTGATTGGATTTTCGGGTAGTTGTTCAATATCTTTCTGCTTTTCTGTTTCTTCTTCTATCGACGAATAACTGTCGTATCTTGATTTCTCGATTCCGTAAAATTCCAACTCCTTTTCAAAGGTCTTGTCGCTAATGTCATCGGGCTTCGAAAGTATTCCTCTTGATTGATAGAAGAACAAGATAGCATTGAAGCTGTATTTGTCTCTTTGGAGGTAATACTCGTCCGTAGTTGAGTTATAGTACTCTTTCCTCTTCAACGGCGAACCCAACAACGTGTCTGGATAATTTGAGAGGGTTTCTTCGTAAGTTTCATATCGCATACCGCTGACGTTAAGAATTATTCGCGGGCTCTTGTAGGCCGGAATACGTCGGGAATAAGTGAGTTCCCGATTGGTTATATAATGCTGCTTGCGAAAATGAGATGGCGTGGATACACTAATTCCCTTAAACATGGGTGGCTGATTAGAGTATATATTTATCTTATCGTTCGATTAGTACCAAAGAAATCCTGTTACGTTTGTTCTACGGGTGGAATAACGTAACTGACGGTAATATCGCGTCTTCGACGAAACTAACCTGCAGAGTCAGAGGACACTTGAAAATAGGTTTTTATGGAGTCGCCATACTTGAACAGAATGGGAAGCCATTCCGATGCATCTATAGCGGCGAAGAAGCCATTTCAGTGTATCCTTATTTGTCGAAAGTGACAGCTTGTTGGCATTCAAGGTATTTTTACCCGTTTTCAATGTTCACCTGCAAAGATTACAAAACAGCGTGAATGACACCTTCAATTGAGCACACATTATTAAATATTTAAGCTCATAAAAACATAGTAATTGTTACTACTTCTCCACAGTCAAGATAGTCGAACAGAATATTCTAGAGTTTCAGGACAAAAATCCTTAAGTTTCAATAAGATAAACCACTTAGGTTTAACTTCATTAAATGGAAGTTCGAATTTAAGTTTTGAATTTCAGTCCTCTTCTACAAAAGATTGTGTTTACTTTTCTGCGATAAGAGGCCGGTACATCTGATATAAGACCCGTCCACACGTATCCGGCGGATAGTTGAAAAATGACTTTTTTCTTCAGTTACAGATTGGCCTTCAGTCCATATGTAACCGGTGACAACGCCACTTGAATAAAACGAAACTTTTCGGAAACATATACGTGTGGGCGTGTGAAAACTATCTTAAAATGCTACGTGTAGACGAGATCTCTTATCATTTTATTTATTTATATTTTATACTTTTACCTTRTTTTCCTTCTTTTTGAAAATGGAACGTATGAAAAAATTCCGTTTTAAAAGATATCCACGTTATGGACGGGGCCTTAGTCCATCTTATGGAGACAATAAAGATAAGTATTAAAGTCCTAATCCTCGGTTAGAATTTCTTGACCTAAATTCAAATTGTTCTACGTTAATATTGCGTGATAGGCGATAGATTTTTTAGTTGTGGCGCGCGAGCCTTAGTAGCATGCATGTACCTGTCACCTTATTGATTTTTATTGTCTCGTGTTATTAGAAGCGATATAAATTCTGCAACACTGTTATAAGCAGTTATTAGAGATTATAAACACATTTTGTAGTCGTATCTGAAAAGAGTTAAGGAATGAATCTTGACTTATATAGGCCGAAAGAGAGAAAAACGCAAGATAGCGCAATAGAATTGTGTATCAAATATAAACATATCAAGTAAAATATACAATAATGATTTTTTTTTTACCAAAATGAAAACGAATATTGAAATAAACCGTCGAATGATTCTGCTAAAACCAACTTTTCAGGAAAAAAATGTCTATAAAGTTATTTTTCATGCATAAAGAAATCTGAGAGCTATGCCAGATGTATTCTTTTATTCGTGGTTTGATAGTAAGTTCTTGTTCTCTCAAAAGTAAAGAGGCTACGCGTCAAGCATTTAAAGTATTTACCCTAAGTACTCATTGCGTAAAGCTAAAAAGAGCAAACGGAGTCGTTTCTGATGGAGTGGACTAAATGCGGACGTCGCGAAGTCGTTTGTTCGGTTAGCGATCAGTGTTAATTAAGGTAGGGGATTGAAACGCTGTATGTCCGCCTTTTGCTTGTAGACATAGACATATAATGTAGAAATAAATACATCCTACAACAGGAACTGCATTTTCTAATTGTAGCAGAAAAAAATGTGATTTTTCTTTCCTGTTTCTGAAACTGAGCGGAATAATTTAGTCTTAAAATAAGTAAATATTTACCTGTAAAATTTTGGTTTCAATGCTGATTTCCTTTCCGTAGACTACGACCGCAGATATTGGCCTAGCTTACAATACAAATATAATACGGTACTATGCAATCATTGATTACTGTTACAGCCTACCTACAAAGACCGTTTTAAGCTCTGTTTCTGTCCACTTTAAAATGCGAGTTCCAAGGTGCATTAGTTTGGGCTTCTGGAAAGTACTGAGGTTTTCTGGGTTTTTTTCCATTTCTTTTCTTTTTTTGTTTTGTTTTAATTTGTTTTGTTTATCAGATGAGCTTATTTTTTCAACGCTGTGAGAGAAATCTTTCAAATATTCAGTTTTTGGCCACAAATCGTTCTCTTACTTGAAACTGTCACCCGAGGTTGCAGCTATGATAGAGCATGTGATGAAACCGCAGCCAAGACGCGTACTCAATTCATGCATCAAGCGTTACGACGAGAAATACTCTTACGTGCGAATAAAGGATATTCCTTGTAAAAAAGGCTGGTTTTAGATATTCAGTAATTTATCTTGAAAAGAGTAAAAGATTAATATCTTGCCACCTCCTAAAATGTTCATTCGCTAGGTTTTAATTAACTAATGTGAAATCAAGGTGAATGGATATATGGCTGAATCAAAAAGACCTGGAATTCATTTCAAGGTATTCTTTAAAAGCATACCCACCTGTCAATACTCCATCCAGGCAATGTACAAGGGAATTAAAGAGTATCAAGGTCTAGAAAGGGCTAGAAGCTCATCTTCCTGTACCATCTGTTGGGTAGGATCGATATGTTTGTATATGTGTTAGCGGCTCACCGGTGTGAATAAGTCAGTGAACAATGACAGATTTTCGTGGTTGTCCGTTTTCTATGGCATGACGTCATGAGCTATGCAGGTGATTCGAGTCGAGGAATGCGGGCTGGAAATCTTATGATCTTTGGTCAATGTTCGCCAAAACAAACAGAACCTTCCACCTCCTATAATACTCTTTTGCTATATTAAAATAATAAGGTACACGATTTGATGGATAATTTCATCTTTGTATCGATAAGAACGGCAAAAGCCTTTAAATACGAACAGAAAGACTGGAATCAGAACTAAATCTTTAATTATTCACTAGCTATAGAGCTTGCAGGCGGGGATAATATCTCCATGAAAAACAATACAGTCGACTCTCGTTACAGCGGACAGCCTCGGTAATAGGTAGCTTCCGCAATAGAGAAAATCAATTACGTTCATTTTCTTTGTCAATATTTATCTCCAGTCCGTAATAGCGAGTTGTCCGTAATGTCGGGGTTTCCGCAAAGCGAGAGTTAACTGTATATACAACTCTCAAATCAAATACTAGTACAGATCAGACGTACAGACAAGTCGGTAGGGCACATTGATGTGTTCATATCGTATATATATTTATCAGTATATCAGCTGATTCTTATCAATGATACGCGCAAATTACTCGTCCATTGGCTGATGTACCTTGAGGCCAAAATCTTTTCTGAAGAGTTAAAAGCATTGTATGGAACAATTAAAGGCAAAAGTAATGCTGTTATTGTTTATTCACTTATGGAAGACAAAAAGAAAAAAACAAAAAGAAAAAAACAAAAACATGAGAGGCTGATTATGAAATTAATATTATTTGAAAATGTTGGAATAAAGCCGAATATTCGAGATATAAGAGTTAGCGTTATCAAATTATTTTGCCATTAGGAACCAATTTGATTACCTTTTGCAATGGTACATGCAAAGAAACTTCAAGTGTAGATGATGAAATAAAAAGCTCGGATTGTTTCTTCTCTCATTCTTTCTCTTTTACGATTATCATCCTTTCCTCTGCACCATTGCGTCACGTTATTTCAAAATAACTAACAACATCACTTCCTATAAGGTTTTAAGGAAATCAGTCCTTAGTAGATTAAAGTAGGCGAGAGATTTAATGGATATCAAATTAACATGCAATTTATTAATTTACGTCGAAGTTTGACTGTATAAACGTAAGCTAACGTATTCATCATACGATTGGCCATTCAATACGGTTGGCTCTTTAATTTCATTCGTGTCTTACATCAAGTCGATTCGAATACTAATGATATCCTGAAAGTATAATCTGAGAGTAGACGGTACAGATGCATAAACTTTATTTAATTAACTTCCAGAGGTTTTTTGCTAGGCTGGTTAGGTCTTTCTCGTTAGTGTATTTTGCTTTAACAGTGTTTTGATATTGCTATTTTGGAGTTGAGATAAAAACAAGATCGATGAAGAAAAAACACGTTAATCTGATGATGAATTTCACCTGAAGTTCATCATTAATTATCTTCTGCGACAAGTGTTCGCTTCATTTCCTAATATGACATTTTTTTTGTTACGCTCGGCTTTTTGTGTACGCACGCGTAGAACTATGTTTCAAAAAAGGGTGTGAGAACCAAAGGAAATGGGTCATTCCAAGATGGGCTGAAGTGAATTAATAACGACATACATTAATGTAAAAACAAATAATCGAAGTCTTTAAAAATGCAGCTGGTTTCGTTCACTACAAAAAAGGCCCGGACTAAAACAATACAATACAAGACTTCTTTATTCACATTTCCTTTTATGTAAATTTACAGTTTTGATATATATTTAGATCATTGAAAAGAAAGAAAATGCTAATTTGGTCAAATAAATAAAGCTAAAAATAGGTTGTAATGAAAGGAAATGCCTAGAGCCTAAATGAACCATATARTTTCCTAGTTAGACCCTGGTCATTTTTTTTGTCAGTTTCATGTAGGCACAAACACGACACGCAACCGGCAAAAAACAACGATTACAACATCTGTCAACCCGGTCACGTATTGCATGGTACATAAAATTCATTCAATTCAGTAATATAAAAAAATCTACAAAGCTTTTCGCAGTTGTATCACGACAGAGCTAGGCTCCAAACTAGGTGAAAGCCCAAAGATCGAATTAGAATTTAGGAGTTGATTTTTAAAGAGGGAGGAAAACCGGAGTACCCGGAGAAACCCTCGAAGCACAGGGAGAGAACCACAAACAACTCTACTCGCATACGACATCGAGATCGGCAGGACTCTAACTCGAGCCGCATTATTGAGGGGCGGCGCATTAGCAGCGCACGCCACCGGTGCTTCCCATATAGGTGCAATGTAGGTGCTGCTAAGTTTCTTTGGGAAAGCAAAGACACTAAAGGTCTTTGATTTCTTTTGGAATTTGCTGCCAATAATCAATTCCTAAAGCTGATGTTGTTTTTTACCAATGTTGGTTCTGAAACGTGCTTTGTAGAAGCCACCTTTAGAGGCATATCTCGTGTTATAGGAGTGGAAGTCACTGGCATAGCGAAAGTAGTTGTCAAAGAGGCTTGGGAGCTGTTTACCTATTCTAGCAATTCTTGGATCATGGAGTGACTTATCGAAAWAGTACTCATGACAACCAAATAGACTAGTCATTCTTGATGGCGTTAATTAATCATATTTAAAAGTAAATGCTTTTAAAGTTTCAAAAATGAAGATAAGCTAATTAACTCATTATCGCAATTGACTCGTTCACTAAAGGTAAACAGCTTCGACAATTCCATATTGCTAAGTGATTAACAATAGCAAAAGTCAACAATATAAATATGAATCGGATGTTAAAATTAATAGGCGGCAATACTATAGTATATACATATATTTAAAATAGAGGTTTTGCACCATTACGCTGCTTCGTCCCATATTATTGCTTGGGCTGCCTGTGGTTAGATGACAACAATAGAATCCCTTTGCTCTTGGGTTGAATTCTTTCTCATGTAAAACGATTGCATTATTCCTGCCTTCTAACATGGCTGCCGTCACGTGATGGTACAAGACCTCTGCCTGCCTGCTTGTCTTTCTCTATTATGATATATAAAACAACGCGGTGGCCACGTCTTTTGTTCAAAGAGACAAACCTCCCGGAGATCAAAACAAAAGTATACTACTAACATACTACGCATTAAGTCCAAAAGGTTTCTGGAATAATATCGTTATCTATCTGTTTTTCGCCTCCCGTTTTTCTTTCCTACCGTTTCTCCATTCCTCCATATCATCCCTCCCTCATTCCTCTCTCTCTCTCCACTCGCTGAGATCGCTGCCAACGCTTTACATTGCAGTAAGTGAGTCCTTGGCGTAAGACTAAAACTTCTATAGTAAGACAAAGGCTCTGATAAGTTTCATAGATCTGAGTTCTTTCATAGTAGCGCGCGTCCTCATGATCATAAACTCGCGAGACTCGGACAGACCAACAAGACAACTGCAGAAACAACGCATTTATCAAACTTAAAGCAGACCAGACGTCTAAAAAGCCAGACAACCGAGAAACATGGAAACGGCCCCGAGGCAAAGAAGATCCAATTCTGCTTTCGAGTGTCTAATTACGTTGCACAACAGAATAAAAACGATAATCTACAGAAAGATTTTTGATTATCGAGCAGAAAAAAACTTGTACATCAAACTAGTTTTTTACCAATGTAATACTCAGGTTAGGCTGAATTTTTTTTCCTTGAAATGTTTCTTCAAGATCAATTCCAGAGTATTTTTTTTGTGTCGCGACTTGCTGTGCATAATTTAAATTTCTATGTGTGAGGCGGAGAAGAATGAATTACTATCAAGATAAGTAATAATAGTAATACGGTTAAATTTTCTTTGCATGAAGTAAAAAAAAGTTATTCTAAAATCCCAAATATTATTATAAGGTTATTTGGCATGAACAGGAATTGCCAAATAACTATATTGGTTAAACCTTCACATGACTAGCAAACGTTTAACATTATATATATATATGTTATGATTCTCGCGAAACTTTTTGGCTTACCTTGAATCGGCCGTTTTGGAACTGAAGACAGAATTAATGGCTAGAATACAGATATCGTGACCACTGATGTTTCGCGGCCAGAAATTACCGCCATCAGAAATTTCTCTAGAGTTTAGAGTACAAACCGGTAGATGTTTAAAGAAGATTACTTGACCGGAGATATGTCAAACGTTAATATAGCACTTACAATAGTGTCCGTTAGTTTAAGAGCTTATATGAGAAAACCAGGTGTTTGAGAGACGTCTATTGTTTAACGTAAATCAGTCAAGTCATTAGCTTAAGTGAATCGAAAACTAGATCTCCATGAGCAACGATCGCCTAGAACTTGATTGATGCATATTCCGTTTGAATACATTTAAAATAAAGACACTGGTATCGTGGGCTAAAATTCTACTTAAACACAGCGCCTTTTTTTAAAATGATTAACACAGCTCTTTTATTGCAATTGATTTTATCTAGTTTGTGTGCGTGAGTGTGTGTGTGTGTGTGTGATATAAAGTTCTATTTATTCGCTTGCATTTGTGTGAGCGATATGGCATGTCCGATCACTTAGCGGAGAAATACGATTGAATATCGATTGGCGTGTACCTTATCTGTGTTCAGTATCAGCAACATTTATTACAATCAAGATTGTGCTTGTTTTTAAGTATAAAACGTAACCACGATAGAAATCTTAGTGTTTATTATTTTTCTAGTTAAAAAACAAAGTTATGCTCTACGTATGATTAACTTCTAGGTACTTGAGTTCAACTCATTAATGTTTTAGTCTAAACTGTTTGAACGCCCTCTACGAATAAACGGGAAACGACGGCCTTTGATAGTCACTGATATTAAGTGAACCTTACCTGTCGTTTGAATATAGGCCTTAATATTAAACATAGATAGACATAATTATGATAGAAATTACAAGATCTTTGCCATTAGAGTTAATGTGGTTAGATGCCGTGAAATATGGTGTCAGCGGTGAGCTAGCGAAAAGTACTTCGACATAGAGCAGTTTTCACATGACTGTAAAAAGCTTAGTACCGTACAAGCGTGCCGCGCAATGTGATTGGTCTGGCAGTGCCGTGACCGTGAATATTTGCGCCGTGTTTAGTGTGTTTTCCAGATATCTGATTGGATGGAGAGTAAATTTCGAGCAATGTGATTGGTCTGGCTATCCCTTGCCGTGCCACGGCCGTCTTGGTGCCGTAAGCTTTTTACAGTCATATGAAAACTACTCTATTTGCGTGTTTCAACAAGTACGTAATGCACTTTTACGAGGTAAATTGCAGTCTCATTAATTGTCACGAGTCATTTATTCAGATATATTTATTAGACAGGTTTATGGGCTTCTAGGGGAAGTAGTAAAATTATACACTAATCTATTGACTATTTTTAACTCTAACACTAACTCTACGAATTGACAATTAGACCTCTCGGCATTGTGATTTACGAGCCAACTAATTGTTTCAGTATAAACCTACAAATTAGTCGAATAAATGGTTACAAACAGTTGCGAGTTGCTGCAAGTGGTTTATCACTGATGATAAACCTCTAGTAGCTGGGCCAATCAGAGCGCTAGATTGTTGATAAACGGATTCTGTAGCATTTATCAGAAACCACCGTGTTTATATCAGAGGACAGAGACATGCTCGCGCAAATTTGTTCAAAAATATTTACAAAAGCAATATGAAACGGCAGCTTTTGTCTAAATGATGTTATAAACACTCGGCGGGGAGCTGTAGTGCGGACTCGAAAAGCAAAAGAAACACTGGGCTATAGCCGATATTTGGGCTATATATATTCGCTTAATTGATTGGAAAGAAAAGAAAGAAAGGTTGTAATATGCATTTATACAAATTATATATAATGAGATGCAAGATATCAAAAGAGATGCAAAACATGGTCAAATACGATTGCTTAACAGCGGAGCTCCATACTTAAGAAAAAATGGTAAACCATCGAGTTGATTTTTCATGGCTTGGCTGACGTCACTTCCGTCCGTCCGTCCGTCCGTGTACACAACACAGGAATCCCGCTTGATGTCAAAGCAAAACTACTCACAAATGCGGCTCTCAAATGCACAGGAAAAATCGCTTTAAGGTTCTGACACACGGTGCAACATTGCATGCAACATTGCATGCAACATTGCACGCAGCAGGAATATTGCAGCGTGTGTCCACCCCAAACTTGTTGCACGCAACTTTGCTTGCAACAAATCTGAAGTTGAATCGCGCTCTACTCTTGCAACATTGCGCGCAACAAATTCCATCATGTGAACATGGCTGCAACATTACATGCAACGTTTTAAAATTTCAAGCCAATCAGCTTGCACCAAATTTATAACTGCTGACCAAATATCTTAACATAGCAGGCTGACACAAGTGATGTTGCGTGATTTTATTGCATTGTGTGTCACCCCGATTCAAATTTGTTGCTTGCAATGTTGCGTGCAATGTTGCATTGCGTTTCAGTACCTTTAGGACAAGTTATAGACCAAA